AGAATAAACCCATTTTCTAATGCCTTTAAGAGCTTCAACGGAAACAACCAAAGTTGTAGAAAACGATGGACATTTCTACTGAGGCCTCAGTGACTGGTCAGCTTTTGTTTTTGTTTTGTTTTTTTGGGGGGGGTCCCCCATCTCAATTTGTATGAGAATATAAAGAAATGGATAAGAGAATAAAACCGTCCTCCATGTCTTTAAGAGCTTCAGAGCTTCTACGGAAACAACTTAAGATGGGGAAAACGATGGCCCCATCTGCTCTGAGGTCTCAGTGACTAGTCAGCCATAGGACAGGGGGGGGGGGGGGGGTCCCCATCTCAATTTGTATGAAAATAAAAAGATTTTTTTTTTAAATAAACATCCTCCATGCCCTTAAGTCAGACCACAAAGATGTGGAAAACGACGGCCCTTTCTTCTGTAAAGCCCCAGTGACTAGCCAGCTTTTGTTTAGTTTTTGTTGTTTGTTGTTTTGTTTTTTTGGGGGGCCAAAACCCAGCTTTGTTTTTGTTTGTTTGTTTGTTTTGTTTTGTGGGGTAATAGAGGAGACTTACCTGCCACGGGGATGCGGTGCACTCCGGATACAGAGGACAGTCTCTGGATGCCCAGCGAGGCGTCCCGCCCGGCCCCCAGCTGCTGCTGCTGAGGGTGGAGCTGGTTAGGGTAGTTCTGGTGAGGGTGGAGGTGGTGGTGCTGGTTAGGGTGGAGCTGGTGGTGATGGTGCTGGAGGCTGGAGACCGTAACTCCTCCACCTGTCAGCATGCCTCCATTCCCCCCGACCCCGTACTGCTGGTAATATCCAGACCGAGAGCGGGACCGAGTCCTCGGGGGCTCCATGCCCATTTGCATTTGGTGTGGGTGGAGGAAGGGAGAGGAGGAGAAAGAAGAGGGGGGTGATGTGATAGGGGACTGTGGAGGAGAACCACCGGGGTGCACAAAGCCCCTCGACCCGCCCGGGGACCCCTCCGTCAGCCCCCCCGCCTCGTCGAATAGGTCGGCCCCTTTGGGGACGGGCTCCGGGGTGGAGGGCAGCCGCGGGCACACTCTGGGCTCCTGGGTCGTCGGCTGTCCGGCCGCGGCGATTGGCATTTCCTTTTTTAAGGGGGATTTCCTCCGTTTCTTTTTCTTTTTTTGTTTTTCCTTTTTTTTTTTCCTCAGCGTTTTTTTCCCCCCCTCCTCGTTTCCTCTCCCAGCTCGCAGAGACTGTTGGGAAACACAGAGTTAGAAAGTGGGGCAAAGAGTTAAGATTTCTAGGCTCAAAACTAGAATAAAAAACAAAAAAAACAAACCTAAACTCTTAACTCTCTTTACTCTGACCAGCGCGTGGTCCCCTGAACTCTGCGCGTGCTTCTTTCGGACTCACAACAACGTGAATCCCCCAAAACTGGTTCAACAACTCTTGCTTAAAAGCACCCAAAAAATACGAATAAACCCAGAAAAGCTTGTTTAAATACTTACTTTGGACCGGATAAAAGTCGCACTAAAGCTGGTCGTTTAAACTAAACAGTTTAATTAAGAAGCCCCAAAAAACCACGAATAAACCCAGAAAAGCTTGTTTAAATACTAACTTTGGACCGGATAAAAGTCGCGCTAAAGCTGGTAGTTTAAACTAAACACGGTTTAATTAAGAACCCTAGAAAAACTACGAATATTAAGAACCCTAGAAAAACTACGAATAAACCCAGAAAAGCTTGTTTTAATACTAACTTTGGACCGGATAAAAGTCACTCTAAAGCTGGTAGTTTAAACTAAACACGGTTTAATTGAGAATTAAGACTTATCGGGATCGATATTAACTTGGTTACCTAGCAGCCAACGGTTGGCTAGCTCGCGCGAGGCTAACACTGGGGGGCATGCTAACCCCACGCGCTTCCTCACACTTTTAAACCCACACAGCGACCTCGTTATCGCACCAAATCGCTTCGTCTTCACAGTTTATACTTCATAATTTAGTTTAAGGCAACTTTATCCACTTTGCCTCGCGTTTAAACTAGTTTAGCCAGTAATGCGTAATGTCGCTCGCTAGCTTGGCTCGAGCCAAACCAAACCAAACCAAACCAACCCCTCCTCCTCCTCCTTCAACAACCAAGACAGAGAAAAAAAAAACTCGTAGCTACCCACCCACGCCTCGAATCCCTTTTAAAACGCTTAGTTAGTACCAGGACTAAGGCAGGGGTTTGAGAAAGACACAAAAATCGGCGTGATTTCGCCGCGTAACGGGGATCCCGGTTGTGTTTTCTGAGCCGTTTGGGGAGGAAAAAAAAGTGCTCAATCTAAAAATTACAAATAAAAGAACCACGGCTAAAATTAACACGGGCTTAAGCGGTGACCCCGCCTCCGATTCCCCCGACCGAAACCAGGGGAAATAAGAAATAAGAGTAGTTTTCTGGACCCGGCCACGTACCGTAAAGGCTCCCCCCCCCTGGACCGTGCTCGTGGATGTGAGCGCGAGCCCTTGTGTTTCGCTCCGTGTCAGCGTGAAATGTGACAGACCGTCAACGCTAAAGTCGGATTTCAGCAGGCAGGACCAGTCGATGCCAGATCCAGGATCCAAATCAAAGAGCACCTCTTCGAAGAATCAGAATCAGAATCAGAATCAGAAATACTTTAATTATCCCAGAGGGAAATTATTGTTGTTACAGGCTCCATAAGCAAAGCAAAGGCATATACATATATACATGTCTATACATATATACATATATATATATACAAAATTCCTCATATAATATAGCTAGATATATACATAAAAAACAATATGTGTATATATATATATAAGAGCATCTCCTATCCCAGTGTTTTTCAACGTTTTTTGAGCCAAGGTACAGTTTTTCATTGAAAGAATCCCGAGGCACACCACCAACCAAAAATGTTAAAACAAATCTGTAGCCGTATAGTAACACTATAGTTATTCTTATCTTATTCTGATCTTATCTTAAGTGTCTTGAATAGGAATCAAATACACACAAAAATGTATTTTTATCATATTTTATATTTCTTCTTTCAAATTGCACTTAACATGTCCACTTCAATATGCAAAATTAAATACAAAATCTAGTCATAAGGAATTATTACATGATTACTCCACCAGTCACTAGTACAGCACAGACACTCAGAAATGGTATGTTATTTGCAGAAAATTAATTCCTTATCAAAAAATTATTTTAGACCAATTAGGTGAAATAGGATGATTTTCTACGGCACAACTG